ATGACGTCCGGGTTCAAAGATATAGGGATTATAATATTAGATTTTTAGTGTGAAGTTCCTCTCGAACGATTCGTTTTTGGGTTAAGAAAGTTTTCATGTTTAAGAGGAAGTAGTTGAATGAGCAGTACCTATTCCATAAGTATTATTGCAAAAGTATCTCTATGTTTCTTGTTTGAAAAGAAGAACATTTTAGAAATTTTGAAAAGAATAACCTTTTACAATTTCACTTCAAGAGATTGAAATTTTACGATTTTAGTTTTTAATCATTTAAAGTAAATTATTCAATTCCATTCTAGATATTTCTTCTCATAGTTTTTCAATTTTTGATTCATCATTTAAACAATATTTTTAAATAAACTTTTTTGCAAAATTAAAAAAAACTGAAAATTGTACAAATTCTCTTTAAAAAATTCTTCAGCAATCGGTTTCCTTTTGTCATTGGCTTTTAAATCAATGGGGAAAAGTTTTAAAAATCTCAGACAAATATCTTTTGAGTTCTTATCAAAAAACACCCCCCCCCGAATAAGAATAAAGCTAATCTGAAGTGTCACAATTTCTAATCTAAAATTTCATTTCATTCCCCAACATCTATTTCCTTTTGATGTCACAAATCTATTGTCAAATGTAAACGCTTAAAGTAAGTGCCCTGTCCTCCTCAACATATATAGAGTGGCATGTACGATTTACAACGGTATCCTTTAAACCTTTATCAGGGGCAGCCGTAGTACATTTGAATTTCCGAGCTGGGTCAACCTTTCCAGTCCCAGTTTGTCCTGTATTGTCCGGACATTTGTTAAACAAAGCAGACACACTATGCCAGTACAACAATGTTGACGCGGTCAGACTTTAGGTTGAGCATCAAAGAGAAATATATTGTGTCGAATTCTGACATTTTCGTTCTTTGAATCTGCTGAAATGCGCAATTCAAAACCACAATTTTCATATCTAAAAATTCTCCTTGAATGTATTCTTTATTGTTCCTAAGCTAAAGGTTTAAAATGGTATCGTTGTTCATGGGGCATGCACTTTAAAAAAAGGTTCATTGAAATTTTGTCGACAGTGTCTTTAATTTTTTTTATGTACTATATCATCAGGCTGGCCCTTCCGGTTCACATACAAGGGTCAGGTAGCCAAGCATAAACTTGAAGTCAAGAAAGCAGTTTTCTGTGAGATTGCGGCACAGGTAAACAAGGAGATACAAATTAAAGGGAGTGTTCCCTTTACACACAGTGATAACCAGAAAATAATAAGACAACTTTGAGAATCAAGTTTTAACTATGAAAAGTTCAATAACCATGAACACAGCAATTGTGCAGTGTAAACAGACCCATTTCACAAAAATGTAATTTTTTAAGTGTCTGGTAAAACTATTTGCTTTGTAACACCATCAAATACACTTAAGTAATTCTGTAATGTCGTCTACAGTGATAAACAGAAAACTGTAGAAGAGGAAGACGACATTTTAGTAATACTGTAATGCATTTGATGTTGTTACAAAGCAGATAGCTTTACTAGTAAGTTATTAAATCACTTACTAGGTGAAATGGGTCTGTTTACACTGCACAACTCCTGGGCCTCAAGTCCATTGGACTATGTAAAGTCATTACTTGAGTTTAAAATTCGACTTTCTATTCCAGAGTTTTCTGGTTATCACTGTATTAGAAATTTTTAAAAGCTTTTGAATAATTCATCAAGGGGATGAATGAAAAATGATATTTAAGAATTGAATAATGAAAAAAAAGATTATAAAGATGAATAAGAAAAGTTGTAGAAGGATGAAACGAATGATAGATGAAAAAATCTTAAAAACAAAACTCAAAAGAAGACTGTGAAAGGGATAAATCAGAAACTAAATATTATTCAGAAATCCCAAACGAGAGCCAAAATTTCGAAGAAAAATAGTCGAAGGATAAAATTTAAAAAATGTTTATTTCCGAAATTTCGAAAATTCGAATAAATAGGTGAATAATGAATACCTGAAGTGCTGAAGATGTTTAAATCAAAGTCAAAAACTGAGGATTACGTGCTAAAGATGTTTAAATCAAAGTCTAAANCCAAAGAATGTAATATATGAATATCTAGGATGAATAAATGTATAAATGAATATCTAGGATGAATAAATGTATAAATGAATATATCAAGGATGAAGGAGTATCCCTATCTGCTACTCCTGGCAGTTCTACTGATGGAGCAGGAACCAATAGCAAGGTGAGAAGAGAATATAAACTTATAAACCACTTGCTATTTATGCACACTGACATATACAGGGTGTCCAAAAAAACTTTGCAGTGCTAAGGGAACAATTTTCATTGGAAAGCTATATATTTTATTTAATTCTAGGTGCACATATTTTCTTTCTTGGCTTCACACTTTTTATGTTACAATCACTTCTTTGAGTATACAGTGAAACCCTTAATAACGAATACATCTAAAGAATTTATCAAATGTCGTATTCTTCACTTTCTGATAATGGAATGTTTCAGATATTTAGTTTTTTAATTAAATGATTATATGGAACTCTTTAAAACTGTTCCCGCATATTCATGGCTATTTATTTATTTTTGCGTAATTTACTTAATAAAGTATAAAACTCATTTAACAAATTTCAAGACGACATTTGATAAATTCTTCCGATGTATTCGTTATTAAGGGTTTCACTGTA